GTGTTCTTGACACTGCAATGTGTGTTTGTTGCTAAAGTTGATGGCTTGTTGTGTAGTGATTTGCTTGCATTGATGTTTTGAAAGGTGCGGGTTTGCGCAGAGCCAAGAAGCGTATGATGGAGCAGTGAATGAACTCTTTAGTACCTTAGATAAGATCGAGGATCACTTGGGTAGTAATAGATACTTGTGTGGAGAAAGGTTAACCTTGGCGGATGTGTGTCTCTTTACAACTCTGATTCGTTTTGATCCGGTTTACAACAATCTATTCAAGTGCACCAAGAAGAAGCTTGTTGAGTACCCGAATCTCTATGGCTATTTGCGGGACATGTACCAGGTTCCGTTTCTTACTGGCTTGGCTTCTCTCTAATACACAAATTCTGCGGTTGGAAAAGCCTTTCAAATTCTGCGTTTGTTGTTGTTGATACAGATTCCTGGTGTTGCGGCTACTTGTGATATTTCGGCTATAATGGATGGGTACTACAAAACGCTGTTTCCGCTAAACGCAAGTGGAATTCAACCGGCTATTTCTTCATCTGGCGATCAAGAATCTCTCTTGAGACCTCATAACCGAGACTTGGTGGGTAAAGCCATGGAAGCACAACTTGCGGTTTAAGCATAGAAAACTGTACATAACTCAAATGATAGGATGATGCAACAGCACTCAAAATTATCATACAATGTAATAAGCTTTGATCTTGTACTATTATCCTTCCCTATATATATACAAGTAATTCTCATGGGAGCTCTTCTTTTAAGTTGAGATCACCTTCAAGACTTCACTTCGATCGTAGTATGTAAATAGCTTTTAATATAAGTCAAACAAAAGCCATAGCCGTTAGAACCTAAAGTTAAGATATACACGAGTTTGATATCACAAAAGTGAATCCAGTTTCTAAGGATAAAAGTGTCATCCTTTGATTCCTATTTAATGGACCGACCGACTTTGCTTATATGCCTTGTCGGATTTTTGACAAAAAAGTTTTTTCGATTGGAATTTTTTTGCCAATTCGTTCAACAAAAAAAAAAAAAGAGATTGCACCACCACATATCTTCAAAAACTACCAATGTAAAGCTCTCATGCTCGCTTCTTCACATTCTTACCTTCTGCAGCATCAACAAAATTGCGTTATTTAGTTGCAAAAATAGTGAAGGGCTCATGTGAAGGCCCGACCTCAGTCGGTACTCAGAGCTCAAAACCGAGATAAACATTTAACAGTCAAACTAAGGAAAAAGATTATCATTTAAAAAATCTGGTGATGATTACTCACTGCTTATCTGCTTAGTGACCCGACAGAACTCACTACCACATCGACAATGGAACGGACTCGTGGGAAACACATCTTGGTTGAATGGGACACCATAATCCTGCAGGTAAAGTCCAAAACTTCTCAGACAGAACCCCACAAAAAAAAACACAGGACTGGAACCCGAACTAGTGAAAATTACTAAAAGAAACAAATCTATTAAGCGTGGGTGGAGAAACTTCTAACACACCCAGGTAAGTTCCTCCATAGCATCGATCTCTCTTGT